ATATAATTAATAATAAAACAAAACTATTGATTTCAAACATTATTCCGAATAATTAAGTTAAAAATTCCATCAATAAAATAAATGTATTATAGAAAAACAACAATATACTTAGCTATTATAATGGTATCCTATACTTGCTATCGGTATTTTAAAAACGATACAAAACAAATGAGTTGAAATACAATATATATCATGCCCGAAAATGTAATTATTTAAATTATTAATAATAATATAATAATAATTAAATGTAAATATCTTACCACTCTATCATCATCGCTTATTACGTTTTTAATTTATTCTAGAATTAATGATTTTATTCTTTGTTTTAATTAGGAATAAAAAAATTACTTTTTTTTTTTTTTTTACAAAAAGCGTAAATAATTGTTGGGTGATTATGGTCCCATCATATCCTTTAAAAACGTGATTATTACATATACATATACACATTTATATATATATATATATGTACATGACATGATTTTTTTTGTCATTAAAAAAAGTAAGCTTATACTGGATTATTTACATACTTCCGTCCATAATGCATACACCGAATTCATAATTAATCTTGATTTAACAGATGTTGTATTTAAATATAATTAACTATTGAAAGTTCCTGATTTAAATAAATCCGTGAATCGTGATGTATATTGATGCTACATGAGTTATCCGTACGTCTCCATATAAGAAATTTTGTGTGAATAGGTATGTTAAATGAAAACAAATCACTAAAAAAATTTAATTTTGTTATTCATTCGAAAGAGATTTTAAATTAATTATGCATTTTAAATTTCGGTAAATGCTCGCATAGCTCAGAAAACCTTGAAAATCGGCAAAAAGGTTAACTAGTCTAATAGCATTTATAATAGTGCAGATATTGTGCAATAATATAATTTATTTCAGATAGGAAAACCTTTGTCGGTTTTTTATAAAAAAATATTTTAATTTCCTTTATTATGGACAGTCAATATTCAAAACTGTTTTTCAAGTATAACTCCAAATGTATAGATGCAGAGTTTAACTGTTATGTTGTATTGTATTTGACTTGTTGAGCTACTTGATTTTGTCCGAAAGTCAAAAGTGAATTTTTAATAATACATAAATTTGTTGCGCAATTAAATGTATAGTATTCAGTGGGTCAGACAGGTATTTGGAGTACATATGTCATGGTTCATATCATTGTGTCGCCTAACCAAAACGTGAACCACATGGTTGAATTAATATCATCACACCTAGAAGCATCGGTTGTGTTTTAAATATTTTTATAAATCATTCCCTCTCCATAAGATTCAAGGAATGTTTTATCACCAAAGTATTTTCTTCCAGATCGTGAATAAAGTTCGGTTACCGATTGAAGTCAGACATAGGCAAAGAAGTTCCAACGTTTTCCTCACAAGCACATACATTTTTGTATTAATTTAGTAGCCCGATTGGTAAACGAAAAATATTTTAAAAACGATGACTGTCGGTCAGGAATTGTCTAAAAGGAAAACCAATGGTTTTGCTGGTTATAATATTACCAAAGAATCACCGAGTTGAGTTGTTCAAATATTTCTCCCTCTATAAATAGATTTTTAACACATTATTTTAATACATTATGCCGAATATTGTTGACAGTTAAGTAACAGGATCACGATATTACAACTATCGTTCAGAAATCGTTCATGTCTAATTGGCTGAATATTATATCGAGTAAACAGCTTATGTGGCTGACAGATGATAGGCCGATTAAATTGTAATTTATCGAGAAAAAAAAAAGAGTAATAACTAAATTATTTAAAAAAAAAAAATTGTCAAAAATGAATTCAAATTAATACTTTTATATTTTAAAAGAGTTTACAAATTTATAATTATATGTTAAAAGTTAACCTTTAAAAAATTCATCCTTTAATTTTGTGTTATTGATATTTTATACGGTCTATTGGCTTTACAGTGGATTTGATTAACACGGGTATAAGAACATATTCATTAATTTAAAAAAAATTAAATAACGTACTTTTATATCGTTTCACTAGTTGATGGCCAATCGAACCATCCACTTGTTTATTTGATGTGACAAGGCATCAAAAATACAACTTATTAGGATAAATGAACCACTGACACTTATGTTTTGTGAAAAAAAAAAATAAACAACTAGAAACCCAATGTGTAAAAAGGGACTAAGGAGCCTCAGTATAGAACGAACGAATGAGCAGCTGCAGGTACACCGAATTATCGAGGGACTAAGGGATGGCATGAGATACAAAGCACTTCGGCTTGCGTTGCCCATCGCGTAGATGGACCGGAATTCCAATAACGATTCCAAAACGAATTTCGAAGTTCCGATGCACGTCTAGAGTATAACAGCTGGCGGGGCGAAATAATTTGGCTTGTGAACATACTTTCAGCGATGGTAAATCTAATGGCCCGTGTTTCTGTGCTGTCTGCGAAAAACCGTTGTAGGTCGTATCAAGACAGGACAATTATTTATGCCGGGTAACCTTAGAAATCGGTCTTTGATCTTTGCTCACGGTTACTGAACAGTTATGACGCGCACATTCGTACGATTAAGGTTGTTTACAACAGAAAAAATACATAGATATACTGTTTTTAACACTAGTATTGATCAAATATAAATAAAGTATGTATGAACGGTACTCACCGAATGGGTCGGCGGTTTTCTTTCGATTCATTAGTCGACGAAAATCTGAAATATATTATTGTTTCTTCTCGCTCCAGTCTTGTTTTGTTTGATTTTTGAATTATCGATAAATACTGCCCGCTGTTTCGACGTTTGACCGATAACATCGATCTATGGCACGCATAAAAGCTATCTCCTAACAGCGAAGTATTCATACTTCACGTAAGGTGTGTTTATGAAATATGCTTACAATTAAAAAAAAAAAAATGTACCGCTTACTATTTTTCTTAAGTTTAATGAAACTGAATCGCATTTACATTCAAGTTAAAGTAAACGTACATCGATAGTTTCATAGCGCTACATGGCAAATCATAATATGACATTATTATGTTGCACGTTGTAGAATATGTGTACAATTCAAGAAAGATAATATAAAATTAATTTAAATAAAAGGTTTTTTACGACACGATTTATCGTTAATCGTGATAATCTGTAGAAATCGTATCGATAAACAAAATAATAAAACAAAAAATAGAGCAAAGCGTTTGGAAATTATTTACACTGATATGGTTTTGTTGGTGGTACTATACACATATTATTATATGTGTAGTCGTACACTGTCTAACCGCGTAAGTGCAAACAAAAACAATAACGATAGTTCATTTTCATGAGCTGTATTTGTGGGTCGCGAAGTGAGAGTCATTTCACTATCAATATCCTTCCACATAATTTGATTGGTCATTTGTTACATGAGATACTTGATTTTGTTGAACAAAAAGTAGTACTGTTTTTTTTTTTTTTTTTTTTTTTTTTTTTATCGCCGAAGGGTCTCACTGAATACGATACACACTTAAGCATCATTGTTATTTGTTTTAAGTTAAAATTATTGATATCTCTGAATGCAAATGCTCACTAATTATAATGAAAGTAATCGTTGGTAAGCGGAAAAACTTCGGGGTGGGGAGGGGGGAGTGAGAGACATCCGTCAAAAAATCTACCGTATGTTTAAACGGGGGTGATAAAAATTAAAAATGTTACTTTACACAATCGAACATTTTATCATAATTATATGACGGCCGTTTATAAATGTGACAAGACGAATTGCATACGCACAATACATAAGTAATTTTAATTCATCTGATTCGTTCACGGACAGATTAAAATTAAAACATATCTTAGTTTGAAATGATCATAAAAATATAACTGTTTCGGTTTTCCAGTTCTGAAATATTGATTACTCGCACGTATGTGCCAGCGCAATGTAAATGTTTAATTTAATTATATTAGTGTCGTATCAAGATACTTAAATCATTAAAAATTCATGAGTCTTATAACTATCAATTTAGTGTTATACATTTATAGTATGTACCGAAATACCGCGAAGAACGAGTGACATGACTAAGCCAACTTTATATTATGCTTAATGACGTGTACAAATCAAATACAACCAAAACCTATATAGCAAAAGCAATGATTAAAATTGTTTGATTTTTCATCTATAAGGTAGTATTTTTTACTTATGTTGTATCTACTAGCATTTATATGGTTTTCAAAAAGACTTTCTCATCGGTAAATCAAACGTTTATGTTTATAGAACTTATCCGTCGAATAATCAAACAACGAATATGATCACAAAATCTTCCATAATTTTTTTTACCTTTGTTACTGGAAGCTAAAAACAGATGTTCATCGGGACTAATTGATTTAAGATAATAAAATACAAATTTTAAAAACAATCATGGCACATATAATATTATATTTACATTCTTATTAGCTAATGGTAATACAAAATGTCCGTAAAGTTTAAAAACTGTTGATAAACAAAAAAAAAAAAAAAAAATGATTTTTATTATTTTGCATAGAATACAAAATAAACGTGTAAAAACCAACAACATCAACGTTAAATATTATTATAAATATCAACTTAGTATCGTGACAACCTTAAATAACTGAAAAATAACGTGAGAACAAAACAATTTTTCCAATGTATTGCAAAAAAGTAGTAACATATAATAATTTCAATATTTATTTACACATTGTTTTTTGAAAATCATCTCAGTCGTTCTAAGTGTTTCCATACAAACATATAACACAAAAACAATTCAATTAAATGTTAATTTACGTTTTACAAATCAATACAATAACGAAGGATGGATGTATGATATTTTCGATATTTTTAACAACACGATAATTTAGCTATGTATGATCCACTATGGGGATTTTTTTTTTTTT